CTGCTGAAGGAAGTGGAGATCATCCCTGGAGCCTGCAGGGTGCTCACAGATGCATGGAGGGGGCTGGAGATGCTGGTGTTGCCCGAGGCTACCAGCCCACACCAGCTCCCACCCTGCCAGGTGTGCCCAGGCCAGCAGCTCTGGCACGTCTGAGGGCAGAGCTGGTCTCTGGGGCACCAGCCGTGCCCTGCACTGGGACATGAGGCACAGACCAGCTGGGACCAGGACATGTCCCAGCCAACTCCACAACACTCAGGGACACTCATGGTTCAGAGCCCACGTGGCAGCCCTGGTGGCAGCCCCACTGACCACTCCCTGTGTCCCCCTCAGCAACCCCCTTGCCCCAGCTGGACACCAGTGGCCAGGTTTATCTCTGGGCCAGCCTGACAGGGATGGTGACCAGTCCCCAGAGGACACAGCCCAGCCCAGCACAGGGTCCCAGCTCTGAGCCAGTCCCTGGGGCTGCTCCACGTAAGGCTGGTCAGTGAGTGGGGTGAGGAGGGGGACACAGCAGCACAGGACCTGCTGTCTAGAGGTTTCTTCTTTCTTGAGGGAGACACAATTGTCCTTCCTCTGTCTGCAGACAAAGCAAGGTGGTTTGGCCCTCCTGGCAAGACCCTCTGTAGAAATCCAAGCCCTCTCCAGCCTGCCATGCTCTGCCCCAGGTGCAGGCAGGCACACTGAGCCTCTGCCTTGCAGCATCCATGCCCATCGTGTGCTGCTTTTTCCATGCCACTGGAATTCCAGTGCTTTCTGGCTGCTCCAGCAGCTCCCACTGCTGCCTGGCCAACCCACCGAACCCCCCATTTTTGGCTGCTGTGGGGTACAGAGCATGCTGGGCTGTGGTACCACACCTGGGCTGGCCTTTACCTGAGATCTCCATGTCATCCAGGCTGGGCTGCAGGGGGGCCAAGTCTGGCTGGATCATGTCAGCATTCCCAACATAAGCTGGAAGAGGGCAGAGCTGCAACAGCAGGGCCCAGCCACTGCACCCCCAAAACTCCCCTTACCCCTGCTGTCACCCCCCTGTGACACCCCAGAGTCACCCCACAACCATGTGCAGGCAGAGAAATGGACACCCACCCTGCAGAAACCCAGGGCCACTACCCTGCCCACCTCTGGGATCCCACCCAGCACCCAAGAAGCCTAAGGAAATGCTGAGCCTTGGCACAGGACCTGCCTGGTGCTGCAGGATCTCCAGGGACCTGGCCAGGCAGGGACAGCAAAAGGTGTCCATGGAAGGCAGGACCTGCCTGCTGCTCACCCAGGGCTGGCAGCTCTGCCCTGGGGTCTGCTGCAAGTTTTTCATGGGGTTAGTGCTCCTCAAGCTGGTCTGGAGGAAGCCAGAGGAGAAGGGAAGCCTTCTCCCATGGCTCCTTCTCCATTTGAGCCGGAACCATCCCCTCCAGGAGATCCTGTCTCCCCAAAAAATCCAGACAGCAGCTCTCAGGGGCTAAACCAAGAGGCAGCAAGGTGCTACTGGCCATGCTGCCCAGCTGGATCTCCTCCTCTAGTGAGAGCATGGTCTGAGGCACCTACCATCCTCGGGGACTGCCTGGTGGGTACTGGGAGTCTGTGTCATGGTGAAGAGAGTGTCAGAGATGTCTGAGAGGAAGGTGTCCAAGTCGAAGTGCTGCCTACCCCCTGGCTCCTCTTCCTCATCCCCAAGCAGCATGGGCACCACGTTGCAGAAGAGCTGGTTGCACCATTTTTCTGTTGGCCTCCAGGCATCCTCATCCTGCATGAGACAGAGCAAAGGAGCCTCGTGGACACCTCTTATGGGCAGGGTCCATGCCTGGCTCCTCAGCTGCCCTCCCTGGCAGCTCCCATGCTCTCTGCAGCATTTATCACTCCACACCTTCACACGTTGGTGCTTCTGGGAAGGTGAATCCAAAATCCTAAGTACTTGGCATCCCATCCCATTGAGTTTGCCACTCCCTTTCCAAGCTGCCCAGTGCAGGATGTCCATGTTACACTCCCCCTTCCCTCCTCTCCCCCAGCAGCCTCACCTGCTTTGGGCTGGAGAGCTCTCCCTCCCGGGTGCACTTTCGCAGCTGGAAGGAGAAAACAGCCTCTGTCACTGCCCAGCCAGGGTGGGCACGGCTTGGGGCAGAGCTGGGGCAGCACCAGGAGGGGGGTCCTGGGGTGCTCAGCGTGGCCACCACGAGTTCACATCTACCTTTACCCTGCGGGGTCCAGGCTGCAGCGGGGTCGGGCTCTTCCCTCAGCCCCGC